CAGCATTTTTTTCAAAATAGAAATCTTTTGTAACAATATACACTACTGTTCAAAAGTTTGGGGTCAGTACTTGAAACTGAAAACTATAGTAATACCTGATGAAAATTCAGCTTTGCCACCACAGGAATAAATTATGTTTCGAAGTATATTAAAATCATTATTTTAAATTAATATTTCACAATATTACTTTTTTACTGTCTTGATGAGCATAAGACACTTCTTAAAAAAAAATCTTACTTATCCTTAACTTTTGAACAGTATACACACTACATGAACTTACCAGACAGATGGTTGTCCAAAGACATAGCAGCAAAAAGCAAATGCAATGACATGTTATCCTGGGAAACTAATAATAAGACACTATAATGAGTGAAAATTTGCAGAAGCGACCTTAAGGAGTTATTTGATTTGGCCATTGGTGTTGGTTTGTAGGTTTAAGTCATATTAAAACACAATGTATTACATCTAAAAGTAAAGTAAGTAAATAAAACCTCAGTCAGGGTCATGGTATGATTTATATTCTAATCATATTCAAAATAAGCTCCCCATAAGCTGCTATTTACCTAAAGAATCAGGTGTGGGTGGAATGAAGAGCCAATGCTTTACTTCTTTTTAGGATACATTCACAAGTATCATGTGGAGTGCCAGTCCTGCTGCTGTGTGCATATTAAGAATTATATATTTGTTTTCGTAAGTACATGTTGAATTCTATTAAATTATTTCATAAATTATTTAAATAGACTTTTTTATCATTAAAAATCATTCTACAATTATGGTTATACAACACAACATTCCAGTACTCATATTTGATTGAACAAGCGGCATTCAAAAGTGTGGATATTTTGTATAACAACATTGGGATATTTCACGGTTTCTTTTTGTCAACTCTAATTAGGTCTTCAAATAAAATTTTATTTTGTGAATCTTTAGGTGTGTCCCAGTTTGCATACTTATGCACTATTCGACAGTATGTCTTTTTTTTTTTTTTTTGTATAAATAATGTGAATAGCATGTTTACACTGAAAATTCCAAAAAGAAAAAGTACACTTTAATTATCCAGATGATACACATTCTTAACTGAAAAACCAAAGTGTATGATGTTAGACACTTCATGCAGTCAACAGCTGGACTATTGAGCGGGACTATCAGGCTCTGATGTTGAATGACAAAATAACCCCAAATAATTCATACACTAGATGCTTGAGTACATAGTGCATAGTATAAACGCATAGTGTATACCAATATAGTTTATACCAAGCTCAGCTCATAACTATAAACATTAGGGTGCAGTGGAAGCATGACAGAAACCAATTGCAAACATGGCGAACAATAAGCATGTGTGCAACAGCGTGTCTTTTTTTATTGCAAACTTCATTTGAGTGATTGCAAATTCAAGACAAAGTGGCAATCAAACACCTTGGACCCAATGCTTTTCAGACCGCTTTTATCAAATCAGACCACACAACCTAGTGGTGTTTCTCATAATTCATCTGTCAGACTGATTGCATTGCATTTAGCATACAGTTACATGTATTGTGGAATCATAAATACGGTTCTGCTCATTTATTTATTTATTATTTCAACAAGATATGAGTCGAGTTAGTATTCTATTCCAATTATAGCCCAAGGTTTTGTTAACCTGTTTGATTGGGAGAGAGAAAAGTGAATCATTTATAAATTGCACATTTGATCCTAAATTGCTTAAAGAAAATACTTGATGACTTTAAAAACAAATCTTGAAAATAAAAATTGGTGAGCATTAAGTAATTTCCTCTTAAAGTTTAATTGTATGGATTAATATTGTTGACAGTAGAATGGAAAAGAATATGGTCATTCACAAGTAACTTATCTGGTGGTCATTAAACTTGATAAAGAATGAATCAACTGACAAATGTATTCTGCTTGGCTTAAATACTTTCTTATATTGTTGTGTTTACATGCCTGCAACTGCCTGACAATTGTTTTGGCATTTTGAAATTTAATTAGCTATTATGGCACACTAGTCCAAAAAAATCCCAATTTTAGTTTGGAATCAATTCCCTATACAGGTATAGGCTACTATTGTAAATCATGACAAACGATTTGGTGATTCACAGTCCGTAAACGATACAAGAGTTCTGGTAATAATTTTGCAATATCCAATAGCATAAGACTCTAAGAAGTCATAATAATAATAATAATAAATTGTATTATTTTCTTTAGGTTCAAAATTGTGACAGAAATTCCAATAGGAATCATGTTAAAATTATTTTTAATTTAATTTTGACTGGGG